AAGCAAGGGTGACCACCGTGTAGGCCCCCACCACAGAACTGCCATCGACGGACAGAGTGAGGTCAGCATTGGGGAGTGGAATGTCAGACACCCTGTCTAGGGGCTGCCTGAGAAAGTCAAGAGCTTTGGGACAAGAGTGAGTGGGTTCAGGATCGATGGTGGGCGCTGGTAAGAGGGTGACCGGGTTGAGCCGAGGGGAGAGGCAAAGGGATAAAGCGGTACTCTCTATAAACAGAAGGTGCAGCTCTTGGAGGCGTGAAGGGCTCAGCAGTGAGAGAGCCTGGTGTGAGAGCAGATCAGTAAGGCGGTGGGGCGAGAAAACGACCACCGGCTGGCAGAGAGTCAGCTTGAGGGCCTCCTTGCTTAACTCTGCAGCACTGCCCAGGGCACGGAGACATGGCTGCCACCCCCGTAAGGTTGGATCCAGCTGCTTGGAGAGATAAGCAACCAGACGGTAGGAGGGGCCAACAGGTTGGGCCAGGACGCCAATTGCCTTGGCGTTCATTGGTGAAAAGGTGAAATGGACGGGTGGGACTGGGAAGGCTTAGAGAGGGGGCCTGCAGGAGTGTGTCCCGCAACATGGTGAAGGCTTTCTCTACCAGCTTGGGAGAAGTAAGGGATCCCATAGGAGTTTCTTTTGCAGCGTCGTACAGGGGCTTGGCCAAGAGGGCAAAGCCGGGAACCCAGTGTCTGAAGAACCCCACTAATCCCAAGAAGGAGAGAATCTGATCTCCATTGGTGGGGGGTTGGAGCTCATGGAGGAGGCGAGTGCGGTCTGCAGTGAGACTCCACGTGGTAGGGGTTATGGACAGACCTAAGTAGGTGTCGGTCTGTGTAGAAATCTGAGCCTTGGTGGGGGAACCCGATATCCTTTGTCTGCTAACAAGTTAAGGAGGAGGGCTGTGTGTTGTTGAGACACTGGTAACGAGGGACTGCACAGGAGGAGGTTAGGACAGTGCTTGAGCCTAAATCACAGGTGGCAAGATCCCGAGCAAGAGCCTGCCCAAAGAGATGGGGGCTGTCTCTAAAGCCTTGGGGAAGGACTGTCCATGTCAGTTGTTGTGAGAGGTTGGTGTCAGGGTCAGTCCAGGTAAAGGCAAAAAGAAAATATGAATCCTGGTGGAGGGGGATAGTAAAGAAGCCGTCTTTGAGGTCCAGAACAGAAAAATGGGTGGTGGTAGGTGGGATGTGGGAGAGGAGAGTGTAGGGGTTTGGGACCACCGGGTGGATAGGGACTGCTGCTTCATTAATGAGCCTTAGGTCTTGGACTAACTGGTATGCTCCTGATGGTTTCTGAACTGGAAGAATTGGGGTGTTACTCAGGGAGTTGGCCGGAATTAAAAGTTCCTGCCCCATAAGGCGGGAGATGATAGGTTTGAGACCTTTCCGATGGGTTTCAGAGATTGGGAACTGGGGTCTAGAAGGAAAGATGGTGGGGTTTTTCAGCGTGATGGTGACTGGGGTGTGGTGAGAGGCCACAACAGGCTTGGAGGTGTCCCGCACCTGAGGGTTGACTGGGGTGGGTGAGATTGGAGGTTGGGTTAACGGGGTAGGGTCTTCGAGCAGAGGAAGGAGAAGGTGAGAGGAGGGGTTTAGGCTTGCTGTGACCTGTAAGGAGGCCCCTAGGAGCTGCAAGATGTCTCTTCCTAGGAGTGGAACGGGGCAGGAGGGTATGACCAAGAAGGAGTGTGTGAAGGGGACATTATCAAGGCTGCAGTTTAAAGGAAAGGTACGAAGGGGGGGTGATGGAGTTTCGTCAACCGCCATGACCGAGATCTGGGAAGGGGGAAGGGGACCAGACTGTGATGGCAAGACTGAATAGCTAGCTCCCATGTTCACTAGGAATGAGATGGACTTACCCACTATCTGTAGCATTACCCTGGGCTCAGCAAGGGTGATGGGAGTCTTCAAGTCTGGGCCGCATCAGTCGTCCATGAAGCCAAGGAGCTCTAAGGCCAGACAGGAGTCCTCACCTTGGCTGGCTGATCCCCCTCGCGGAGGCGCTGGGGCACCGGGAACGAGCCTTTAAGGGGACAGACATCTCTCCAATGGCCGAGCTGCCAGCAGTTGGAGCACAGTTTGGTGGGCGGTTGAGGGTTTGGACATTGGCGGGCCCAACGTCCTTCCTTACCACAGTTGAAGCAGGCTCCTGGCAGCATTCCTTTTGTGGCCCGGACTTTGACTTGGCCCCTGGGTTGTGACGTCCTGGGTCTTCAGCCAGCCTCAGGGCTGCTACTATAGCCTGGGTCTGCAGGGCTACCGTCTGCTTGCAGGCGCACTTGGCGAGCAGCCTCAGCATTTTTGTCCCGGTTGTTAAAAACTTTAAATGCCATGTTTACCAGATCTCGGATGGGGGTTTGAGGACCGTCCTCTGCCTTTTTTAGTTTTTTTCTGAATGTCTGAGGCTGACAGAGATGAAGTGGGTGGCCAGCACAGTGGCCCCTGCATTGGATGTAGGATCTAAGTGAGTATGGAGAACCATAGCCTCAGTTACGTGGTTAAGGAACAGGGCTGGGTTTTCTTTCGGGCCTTGGGTAATTTCTCTGAGTTTGTCATAGTTAATTGCCTTCTGAGCTGACTGTTGCATTCCTGCTAACAGGCACTCAACCATTTGGTCATGGCGCCCCTCTGCCCCCCTGTCCCGTCTGATAATCCCTCCCTGGGGTTTGCTTGAGGAACAGCATCCGCCCCAACCGGCAAGAGGGGGTTGGTAGCGTGAACCTGATCGCCGTGTGCCCCAGCCGCTGTTCAGACAGGGTTGCGCTCATCTGGGGTTTGGGTAGATGTGAGAATGATGTGTAAGTCATGCCATGTAAGATCATAGGCCTGGACCAAATACTGAAATTCTTTGATGAAACCTGTAGGGTTGGTGGAAAAGGAACCTAGACGCTTTTCGATAGAGGAGAGGTCTGACAGAGAAAAAGGGCCATGAACCCAGACGACTCCTTCCGCCCCTGCGACTTCCGGAGTGGACCAAGGAGGGAGTTTGGGGGTGCCTGAGCCCAACAGGAGCGCGTGTGTGCGCTAACCAGAGAGGATAAGGCATCCTCGGAAGGGAGAGCTCCCGCGGGCCGTGGTGCGGGGACAAGGGGTTCGGAAGGAGGGGGGTGGTAAGGAGGCGGAGAGGAGAGGTCTTCGGGTGGGTCAGTTAAAGAAGAGAGGTTGGGAGTGGAAGGTTTAGAGGGGCACGAAGGTTCGGGGGCGCTCCTGGCCAAGAGGACCTGGGCCGTGGAGCACGTGGCACAGAGATCAGAACAGGAGCGCAGCGCCCAGAAACCCTGGATATAGGGGACCTCAGACCATTTGCCAGTTTGTTTGCAGAAATTTTCTAGATCAGTAAGGGTAGCGAAATCGAAAGTCCCATCAGGAGGCCAGGTCTCGCGGTTATCTAAAGGACATAACGGCCAGGCCTTGGCGGACAGGAAGATTAACCGCTCTCGTTTCAGACCTGGGTCAATCTCTCGTTTCAGACCTGGGTCAATTACGGGCAAATTTTCAGGAGACACCCTAAAGGCGTCTTGGGGTCTATTCTGGACTCCTGTCCTCCCATATTCCCTGGCCCTACGGCGATTGGGGATTGAAATTGGCGTCCCGCAGATCAATCCACCAACCTTTCAGGCAGGCTGGGGTTTGGGGCCTGGGACATCTCCACAGGCAGCCGGTTACCCCAAGAAGCGGAGAGCATTCTCTCCAAGGATTGGGTTACCCCGACGCAGCTGCGATTTTCAGACGGGGGCGGGGGCCCAGAGTCAGAATAGAGTCAGGGAAGAAGGGAAGAGGGACACTCACCCTGGCTGTCCGAACTGGTGGAGCAGTCGCAGAGGCTTTCCTCGGGGAAACGGGGAGGAGCGAGCGGCCCCAGTGGACAACTCCTCCCGGGGTTTCGGCACCAAAATGTAAGATTTTTCCGCCGAAGAGTAAAGTCAAATCAGCCACAAAGGGGGCAAAAGCAGGATTTTATTGGGGTTGCGCTTCTGGGGAGATTCTCTGGTCCAGAGTAAGGGGACCAGAGATGCCGCGTCCGTCGTTTAGAGCGGATGGGGCGCTGTAGTCTCTGTGGCAGACTGAGAATGGCTGACCACTTAGACACTTGGTGCTGGGAAGATTTTGGCGGTTGCTTAGCTTGTAGTTTTCTTCGTTTGGCGCCTGCGGTGGGCGTTAACCTTTTCATATCCTGTCCAACCCAACGGCTACATTTTATGTACGTAATCTGGGAGTCTGTGGCGGCACTTCAGAAACTAATATTTATTTAAACATCTATTATATGTCAGACCCTAGGTTAGCCACGAGCAAAAACGACTTCTGTCTTCCCTGGTAAACTGCAGAGCAATGTCCTGGAAATGAGATTTTTTTTTAAAGATTTTTAAATTTATTTTATTTTTTTTTTAGAGAGGGAAGGGAGGAAGATAGAGAGAGAGAGAAACATCAATGAGATAGAGAGAGAAACATCAATGTGTGGTTGCTGGGGGTCATGGCCTGCAACACAGGCATGTACCCTGACTGGGAATCGAACCTGCGACACTTTGGTTCGCAGCCCGCCCTCAATCCACTGAGCTATGCCAGCCAGGGCTGAAATGAGATTTTTAAAAAAAGATTTTATTTATTTATTTTTAGAGAGGGAAGGGAGGGAGGGAGGGAGAGAGAGAGAGAGAGAGAGAGAGAGAGAGAGAGAGAGAGAGAGAGAGAGAAACACCAATGTGCAGTTGCTGGGGGCCATGGCCTGCAACCCAGGCATGTACCCTGACTGGGAATTGAACCTGCGACACTTTGGCTCACAGCCCATGCTCAATCATGGAAATGAGATTTTTAAGCAGGGTAAAAAGCAGCGCAGCGGCGGTGGGAGACGGGTAGGGGTGGGTGGAGCGGTACTTGGACGAAGGGTGGAGCCCCGTTCAAGAAGCTCCGCCCCTGGAGTCACTTTTTTTTTCATTCCGGAACGTTTTTTCCCCTCCTACTACGTTTTCCTTCGGACTCTTTTGAGTAAAGAGCAACTTCCGGAATCTCAGGGCTGCTTCGCGTGGTCTCGGAGCTGAAGCCTGCACTTTGATTTGGGTGCGTCTGTCTGGTTCGTTCACGGCCCTGCGAGCTTGTTTCCCGGCTTCATGGCCGGGCTGACCCTGTTCGTGGGCCGCCTCCCTCCTTCCGCCCGCAGTGAGCAGCTGGAGGAGCTGTTCAGCCAGGTGGGGCCGGTGAAGCAGTGCTTCGTAGTGACTGAGAAAGGTAAGGGGGCGGGGTGGTCGAGGCTAGGGCTGGGTTCCTGGGAGCGGGGTGGAGGGGTGTCGTCGTGGGGACACCCTCGCAAAGTCCAGCGTGCGGGAAATCTTTACCTCCTCCTAAGAGAAGGGTCTGGGAATTGAGTTTCTTTTACAAACTGACTCTGCCCTAAATGAGTCCATAAGGGTCTTATGTTTCTGAATGTCAAAGCGCTTTCAGTTTATGATGCATGCTCACATACAAGATCTTAGTGTAACTGAAAATAGCAACCTTGCGGTAAAAACTCGGTAAAGCGTACCGATTGCCAGGTATGGTGCTGAGTGCCACACGTGTTATCTCATAATTTTCTCAGCATTCTTGTTAGATGGAGAGTCTTAACCCCATTTTACAGATGAGGAACCTGGAACTTAGGATGGTTTGGTAACTATAGCTTTAAAGTTTGTACAGCTAGTAAGTAGCAGACTCAGAATATGATCATCAGACCCGGAGTTCTTAACCATTATGTTATTCATTTACTCAGTTATTTATAAATATTCATTGAATGCCCACTATGTGCCAGGCACTGTTGTAAGGTCCTGGGGATACAGCAGTGCACAAAACCAAACATCTTGCTCTTATGTATGTCTTAGAGGTGGGGAAGACAAGCAGTAAACAAGCAACATTTGTAGTGATAATGGTGGTAAATACTAAGGGGAAAAATAAGCCAAGGAAGAAGGATAGGGAGTGTGTGTGTGCACACTCACGTGTGTTGGGGGTATGTATAAGGTGTGCAGAGTAGCATCGTTACAGATAGAGTAGCCAGGGAAGGCCTGGAGGTGAGAAAGTGAACATGTACCTTTCAGTGGGGAGGAGCAGTCTAGGCAGAGAAAACCAAAAGCTCAAGGGTACTCCCCTGGCTGGTGTGGCTCAGTGGATTGAGTGCTGGCCTGCGAACCAAAGGGTTACTGGTTTGATTCCCAATCAGGGCTCATGCCTAGGTTGCAGGCCAGACCCCCATAGGGGGTGCATGAGAGGCAACCTCACATTGATATTTCTCTCCCTCTTTCTCCCTCCTTTCCCCTCTCTCTAAAAATAAATAACATTTTTTAAAATCTTTTTCTCTTTTTTTCTTTAGGTTTTATTCATTTTTAGACAGAGGGGAAAGGAGGGAGAGAAACATCAATGCGTGGTTGCCCCTCATGTGTCCCCCACTGGGGGCCTGGCCCACAACGCAGGCATGTGCCCTCCCTGACTGTGAATTAAACTTGTGACCCTTTGGTTCCCAGGCTGGTGCTCAATCCACTGAGCCACACCAGCCAGGGCAATAAAATCTTTTTCTTTTAAAAAAAAGAAAGCTCAAGGATGCTATGTGACAGGAGTGAAAGGAAGAGAATTAGGAGACAAAATCTGGGTATCAGATCATGTACGACCTTACAGACCATTGCAAGGACTTTGGCTTTTACTCCAAGGAGATGGGAAACTACTGGTTTTGAGCAGGGACTGGTAAGTACTATCTGGCTTTCATCTTGAAAGATGCTGTCAGGCTGTTGTGTTGCGAATAGGTTGTTAGAGACTAGGACAGAAGCAGGGAGACTTCTTGCAATAATCCAGGTGAGAGATTATGGTGTTGGACCAGAATAGTAGCAATGGGTGGTAAAAAGTGATTGGAATATGGGTATTTTGAAGTTAAAATGGAGAGGATTTGCTGATGGGTCAGTTGTGGGGTAGGAGAAAAAAAGGAGTCAGAATGAAGTGTGAGTCCAAGGTTTCTGGCTTGGGCCATTTACGGACTTGTGGAATACTGCTGTATGCTTCACATTCTGTTTGATGCTCATCACATCACTGTGAGGAAGGGTTGGCATGTACTAGAGTGAGGATGAATTGTAAGGGTTTTGATTGTAGAAACATTCCTTCCTCTTACCAGGACTTCAAGGGGTACTTGAGATAGGCACCCGATGTTACCCAGAACATACATACATTTAGTTCTCTCCTAAGTCACCAGGCTGTCTCTCTAGGTGGGCTTTGCCTTTCAGCAGAACAACCAGTAGGCACTGGCATCCTGGGCCCCTCCCCCCATGGTGTCTGAGTATGTGCTTCCCCACCCATGGTGTCCCAGAGAAAAGAAACCTATCTCCAGAACACAGTATACTTTCCTAGTTCCAAGTGTCAATTTTAAGTTTAGGTGAATCAGTGTCCTGTGTTTCAGGGCTTATAACTGAAGCAGCTTTAAGTGTAGTTGAAAAAGAAGCAGAACATATGAGCTATGTTTCTTCTTGGAGTAGTAGACAGACTACCTGGTCCACCTTTTTTCTTTTTGATGTGGTAAATTACTTAAAATTTTACTACCAAAAATGTTAAATTAAAAACATAGCAAAAAAAGGCAAAGGTGGGTTACAGTTTTCATTTTGCAGCTATTCATTTGCTTGGTTCTAGTATTCTTCTCTGTGGCCATTATATTGGTGGAGTCCCATGGAAAGAGCATGAGGCTGGTGATGAAGAATTCAGGTGCTAATACCCTGGGGGACCTTAACCAGTTCACTGACTTTCCTCTATGTCAAATTATTGATTTGGAAAGAAGGGATGATAGTATTTCCTTTATTTACCTTAGGGTGTTCTGAAGGTAAGGTGAGATAAGAGATTTACAGCTGCTTTGGGAAGGTTTAATTTGATATTGATCACTAAGGGTTGGTAGTAATGGTGTCTACAGGCTCCCAAAGCACTGTTTATTGTTTGACGTTCTTTTGTCAGGGCCTCACTCTACCATCATTGCCGATCTGTTTCAAGGAGGAGCTGCATCATTATGTGTAATTTTCAAAGCTACCAAACTTACTGTTCCTACCCTCTGTGGTGAGGTTCCCTTGTATTTGATGTTGAGTTCTTCTTTAGGGTGTAATTTTCATCCTGGATCTCCATAATCTTGAGATTGTCAGGAAAGGAGGAAGAAGAGGAGCCACCAGCAAAGACACCAAAGTAGAAAAGGAAGCCTAACAAGTTCTGAGCAAAGTGGCAAAGGGGCCACCGATGTCAACCTGTTTCTATCCCGCCTGAGGATTTTGGCAAACTGATGCCTAGCAGTGTAACTGCTACTTGAGGGCTTTGAGAATGGACTTGTTAGGGTTCCTGGCTGATGATTTTCTCTCCCCCACCCCCTTACTGCTCAGGGAGTAAGGTGTGTCGAGGCTTTGGCTATGTCACGTTTTCTATGCCAGAAGATGTTCAGAGAGCCCTCAAGGAGATTACCACCTTTGAGGGCAGCAAGATCAATGTGAGCATTGCCAAGAAAAAGCTGAGGAACAAGTCCAAGGAAAAGGGAGGAAAGGGTGAGTTTCCAGTAACGGAAGGGAGCTTTCTGTCTGGGTGAGGAGGTGGAAAGGGCGGTGGAGGTGGAGGGAGCTTCTAAATTTAAAGCTTCCTGAATTTGCTTTTGATATCCAAAACTGTCTAATGTATTTCGTTACTCATTTTAGTCTTTTGTTTACTTGTAAGTCTGGAAAATCTGGTGGTCCTGGGGGTTGCCATATTGAACCCCGTGTAAATGCCACCTGTTGCTAGTACCTTTTTTCCTGTGCTGTTCTGGGCCTAGAGGTGGGTGGTTGTGGAGCACAGACTTAGTCCATTCCCTCCTGTTTTTCTAGAAAATTCAGAGTCCCCAAAGAAGGAGCAGAAGCCTAAAAAAGCCAAAGTGGCAGATAAGAAAGCCAGATTAATTATTCGGAATCTGAGCTTTAAGGTGAGTGACGGAGAACCGTGAGGCTGCCTGTCCTCAGACCTGCTGGTGCTCATGGGTGGAACTCCTCGCCGAGGGTGGGGATTGGGCGTAATGCATTTTGGGAATGAACCTGAGTCTTGTTGAATGTGGCAAATGGGCCTGTGTACACAAGAGCTTATTAAGACAGTAAGAGGATGCCTTCTTGAGAAAGGATGGGAGGAAAAGCTCTCTGCTATCTGTCCTTTTTGCTTCATAGCTACCAAGCAAGATGTCTTCTATTTAGAAGTGTTTGTCCTAATTTCAAAAGTAAAAAAGGAGTAAAAACATTCAAGTTGTTATTAACAAATTAACTTAGTCATTAGTGTTTCATGTTTATATGCTGGGATAATTTCTTTTTCTTCTTCACTTTGTCCTCAGTGTTCGGAAGACGACTTGAAGACAGTGTTTGCTAAGTATGGAGCTGTCCTAGAAGTTAGCATCCCCAGGAAGCCAGGTACCAGTAGACCTTCATTTGGTGTGAGTGCGATTGATACTATTTGACATAATGGTTTTTTTCTGTATCACCCTTGAGCTAAGCACCTAGAACTAGAACTACAGCTGGTTGGAGGTGGGCAAAGGGAGGGGAGAATGGGGGACATCTGTAATAGTGTCAACAATAAAAAAATTAAAAAAACAACAACTAGAAATGTGAGCTCCAGATGATGTGATATATATAAAGTATTAGGCATAGTGTCTGACAAATAATAAAAACATATGTAATACTGCTGGTGGTATTTTTAGTTAGGTATTTTTAGTTTAGGTATCCCCGATGGTATTTTTAGTTAGATCAGAACGCGTTTTAGAAGACAAGTCACACTTTGAGAAAGTGCACTGCGCTCTCTGAGCCCAAGGCAGCATGCACGCAGCAGGAGGACATAAGCTTTGGCGAAGGGGCTGGCCGGTTGGCAGGCTTTGGGCCATCTCGCCACCCTGGGTTGCCGTAATTTCCCTCTTAGGTCTGTTGGCTCCCCACCTGCTGCTTCTAACATCTTTGTACATTTGCACACAGATGGAAAGATGCGTGGTTTTGCTTTTGTTCAGTTCAAAAACCTCCTAGAAGCAGGAAAGGCTCTCAAAAGTATGAACATGAAAGAGATAAAGGGTAAGTTTTCTATACCCATACCATTGACCCAGGTATTTCTGCTGTTTGGGTAAATTAGCACAGTAACCCACTTTCTACATTTTCAAAAGGTATTTGCATTGTTGAGAGTCTCACTGCTAATATAGAAGCTATTTTGGTGAAATACTCTTGATACTTGATCTAGGATTAAACTCAAAAGAACTCATGTCATTATTTTCTTTATTTGGTGATGAGTGTTCTTTTAAATCCCTCATGAAAAACTATCACAGAAAAAATCACTGGTAGATGTGGGTTGCTATCCAGGGCATGTGGGATTTGCAGGGTTTTCCCTCTTGGTTAGCGGCATCATTCAGCATCCGTGGGCAGTGAAACTGACAGTGATGCTGCTGTGGGTATTGGTCTACCAGGTACTAAAGAAGGGCTTGGCTTAGAGACGGTCTCACTCTAGTCTGGTGCAAATTACTCTAGTGTGCCTGTTTTGCCTCTTGCTAGTCTACCTGGAAACTTGTTGATCTAACTGGAAGCACTGTGCTAATTATTTTTTAAAATTCTATCTTATCCCAGGTGTGATGGCTGTGTAGAAAGGCAAACTTTCTGTTCATTGGTAAAAAGGTTAAGATTTAAAAAGAATAGATAGCTACTTGCAGTTTTATTTTATTTTATTATTTTTTAAATTTATTTTTAGAGGGGAAGGGAGGGAGGAGACAGGGAGAGAAACATCGATATGTGAGAGATATATCGATATGTTGCCTCTCGCATGCCGCCAACTGGGAACCCAGCCTGCAACCCAGGCATGTGCCCTGACTGGGAATTGAACCAGTAACCTTGTGGTTCGTAGGCTGGCACTCCGTCCACTGAGCCACACCAGCGAGGGTTCGCAGTTTTGTTTTAGGATACCCATCTTCTGAACTGGCAGGAAATTTTTCTTTTTGTTCTTTACTGTCTCTTTGATGAATAAGAAGTCATTTACAGAAGATAGAAATGTTAAAAAAAGATGTTCCTTTTCTGTCTACCAGGGCGGATGATAGCTGTGGATTGGGCCGTAGCAAAAGATAAATATAAAAGTACACAGTCTGCCTCTGCCCCAGGTAAGATGTGGTGCTGGGTAGGAGGGGTTGTATGTTTTGGGGTGAGTGCAGAGAAGACTCTACTATAAAAGTATAAGGGAACCTGTCTGTCAGTGAGAATATTGGGCTGGAGATACCAAAAGCATAAGATCACTCCCCACCCTGCCCCCAGATGAGACTGAGGAGTAAGAAAAACTTTGAATTCCTACTGGCTCAGAAAGTCTGAGCTCGTTGTCAATTCATACAGTCCCATCTGGTGATCTTGTAGTCCCAGAACCTAGTCTAAGCCCACGCCTGAGCATGGACCTGAGTGAGGAGTCAGTCTGAGTTCACCGTTCCCTCTACTTGCTCTCCTTTCTCAGCTTTTCATAACAAGGAACGATGGAACATTAAGCACAGGGAAACTTAAAGCTTGCATTTTATTTAGAAAACAATTGGCTTTAGGCTTCCAGGAGCTCAGAGAACAGAACTCACCGAGGTTGAAGTTCATGGCTGGGCTCCGGTGTGTGCGCTGTGCTGGCTGTCATGCGCAATGGTAGGCTGTTTGTGGGGACTCAGCTGCTATTTCTCTCATTCTGAGCCAGGTCGCCGTCAGGCTTTCGATGAATGAGTGGGACAGACTCTGAAGGGATCTCAGTGATGAGGGGCTTTTGTTATTGTTTGCTTTTTTTTGTTTGTTTTCTTTGTTCATACTTTCTTTTATTCTATACAGTGAGGAAAATATATGAGATTTTATAAGACTAAAGAAACTAGAAATTGAAGGGTATTAGTTACTATTGTTAAAATAACCTTATTTTAGATACTGAATTAATTCCTAACTTTCTTTACCTCCCTGTGCAGGTGAGGAGAAGAGACCTGAACCTAAACATCAGCAGTTAGGTAAAGAGAATGGCAGGAAAGCAGAGGGTAGAGGAGAAGAGGATCGTGATGATGATGGTCATATGGAAGAAGAAGAAGAAGAAGGTGATGATGATGATGATGGTGATGATGATGATGAAGAAGAGGAGGAGAAGAGGAAAGAATCAAAGGTGGCCAAGCCTGTGCAAATTCACAAGAGGTAAGCAACTCAGCTTGTTCTGAGACAACAGAGGAAGATTCAGGACTGTCTCCGAGGGGAAGATGCCTTCTCCGGCCCCCAACATTGCAGACTTGCCACGTGTCAGGAAGCGGGACAGCCCCCTCTGTCCTGCAGGTCCTCAGTTCTGAACTGTGCCGTTGCAGAGCCGCCAACAGAGCAGCGCCCCCAGAAAGCAGCGAGGAGGACCCGTCTGAGGAGGACAGCGGCCTGGAGGACAGCGATGGAGGTGATGGTGGAGAGGAACTGGCTCAGAGCGACACAGACACGGAAAGGCAGGAGGATGAAGGTTTGCCTGCAGCCTTTGATTCCCACTAGGGAATGCGCATCACTGCAGCACAGGCCCTTTAGGTCGAACCCTGGGGTATTGTGTCAGATGGATGTTGAAGTGCTGAAGACGAGCACTTTGAATTCCTTCTGAAGAGTTTTTTGCTTTGTTTTTAAAATGAGTTTGGAGTGATGTTTGAGGGTCAGGGTTTCTAGAGAATTTAAAACGTAGCTTAATGCTGAGGCACTCTCTCTCTCTTGATTATCCAAGCTGACTGGCTAACTGGATACACAGGATATTGCATCTAAGGTGAAGGTGGATTTTAAACAATTCTTCTGAGTTGAGATGGGGATAAAGGACCCCTGGGGGCAAACCGTTGCTTGCTACGTTTATCAAGAATGTTGAGCAAACTCAACACATTTATTGAGGGAGGAAGGTCATTACAGAACGAGGAGTGGCCAGTCGCTGGTCCTTTAGTTCGTCTAGGTGGAGGTTTTCATTCACTTACCAGGTCTCTCCCTTCTGCTCCTTCTCTGTAAATCTGGCGTGTTGGTCAGCCCATATAAGAAATCTGAAGAAATAAGCTTTTTCCATGAGGAGAGAATGGTGGATACCTTAGAATCAAAGGCATTTTTATACTGAAAGGACTATGAGACCTTGCATTCTACAACCAGATTCAGCTGTCTATTACTGTTCTTTCACTTGAAAAAATTACAGGGCTAGTACATAATAATGAGAGAACATTAATAAAAAATACACTGTGGACGAGTATAATATAGAAAGTAAAACTTCCTCACCAGTCCCCCAAGGACCCCCGAAGTAACCACTGTTGTTTTTTGTGTGTCTTTCCAGAAAGTTTCTATGTGTACATAAGCATGTATGTCTTTTGTTAAAAACAAACAGGGAGGCTCCCTTATGGCTAGATCCTCAGCCATTCAGGGCCCCTCCCCAGAGATGACCATTGTTGTACATTTCTGGTGTATCTAAAGGTAATTAATACCTTTAAGGGTAAACACACATATACAATATAGTGTATATTATGTGTATGAATGTGTGTTATTTTTTTCCTTCTCCAATGTTCTGCATGGTTTTTTTTTCTAATCCTCACCCAAGGACATTTTTTCATTACTTTAGAAGGGGCGGGGGAGAAACAGAGAGAGAAAAACATCGATGTGAGAGGTAAACAGCAATGGTTGCCTTTCATATGTGCCCTGAGTCTGGATCAACCCTCAGCCTCTCAGTCTGCAGGATGATGCTCCAACCAACTGAGCCACACTGGCCAGGGCTGTCCTACATGTTTTTGATATATACATACACACACACACATACACACATATATATATACATATTAAATATATATTTTTTTATTTTTAACTTCATTATACTTTTTAAAAAGATTTTATTTATTTTTTTTTAGAGAGGGGGAGGGAGGGAGAAAGAGAGGGAGAGAAACATTGATGTGTGAGAGAAGCATCGATCGGCTGCCTCTAGCACACCCCCAGACTGGGACCTGGCTGACAACCCAGGCATGTGCCCTGACCAGGAATCAAACTGGTGACCTTTTAGTCTGTGGGACAACATCCAGCCACTGAGCCTCACCAGTTAGGGCTACATGTTTTATATTTCTAAAAAATTTACATTTTCACAGCAGTATATGGGACCCTTACTACATTGGATTTTATCTTTTTGGTTTTTGCCCATCTGTTGGTGAAAAATAGTATCTCATTTCTTGTGTCCTTTAATTATGAGTGAGTTAGAACTTCTTTTAGTATATTTGCATATCCTTTGTTCATTTTTAATTTGATTTTAATTGATTTATGCAAGATCTTTATATATTTAAGAAGTTAGCCCTTTGCTGTATGGCTTACATTTGTATTTTTAAGGTTGTTCTTCATTCTACTTTAGGTGTACAAGTTTCAAAGAAAAAGAAGCGGAAATTACCCTCTGATGTGAATGAAGGGAAAACTGTTTTTATAAGGTATGTCTTTTTACTCCAAGAACTGTTCTATTTGTGCCACCATCATAGGTTTCTCTTTCCTCCCTCCCTCCCTTCATTTTTTTTTTTTTTGCACTAGTTTTATAGCTAGGCCAGAAAGCTAGATGCCTCTAAGACCATTGGCACATCTGGCCCTAGGAACATGCCAAACGGTGAGGAACATAGGCGAATCGGAACTATAGACGGAAGGTACATTGCAGGGATCATCATTTCCTGTCCCATTTAGATTTCATTCTCTGCAGTCTGCGTGGCATCGTTTGTAACAAATCAGTTCTTCAACTAGGAGACACATTCTGCTTGCTGGCCTTCGTTTTAAGGGGAGTCCTGGGGAGGGTGACACCACTTGTCCCAAACAATTCCCTTTTTCATGCCTTACTTACCTTCTAAAGTCGTGTCCAGAATAAAGTGAGGTATCCCATCTGTTTCTAGGGAAACTGAGGGAGGGAGTCGGGTAGAGCTGCATTTTATTTCATGTTGCCATTGCTGTTTTAGTCCCACTGACGCGCTAGATGGGCATTTTCAGACAGTCGGGCTACCTTCAGCGTGCCTTCAGTATGCCTTCTTGTGTGTTCCGAATTACCGATGTGCAGGACTGTTTGCATCTTATTTCAGAGATGTGTATTTTATCCTCTTGTACAATCTTTTAAGATTGTTTTTATTATACAAATAGTTTATGTTTATTGTAGGGTATTTAGGAAATAAATGTTCAAAAAGACACAAAATTCATTGTAGTCACTACTCAGAGAACACCCCCACACATGCCCACACCGTCATAGTTACAAGATGAGTTCAGCCTGTACGTGCTGCGCTGTAACCACTTTCCTCCTTGTGGAACGTCCATAGTTTCTTTCTGCTGTGTTCCATGGAATTGCCATGTAAATAATTTTGTACTCATAGAGGATTCTAAGAGGAAGGAAGAAACTTCACACTTAGAAGCCTGTGGCCTCAATACCAAGGATGCTGTTCTGTGTGCATCTAGTAGATGAACAAAGAACTTTGGAAGGTAAAGGGATGGAAGAAGGAAAGCTATGCACATGATGAGGCAACTCAGAAGGAGTCGTGTAGCTAGGATGTGTCTTACTGCAGAACATTTATTTTTTTAACCTCAGTTACTCTGTAAGATAGAACCATTTATGGGGACGTTAACTGAGTTTAAGAGAAGTAAAATTGTGGACATTTATTTGGGACTTTTTCTCACCCCCGGAAGGCTGTGCACAGCTGGGGAAGTAAGGACTCTGCATGGTGTTGGGATTTAGTGGAACAGAATCTCCTTCCAACATGTTTTAAATCCCACGGAGAAAATACGTGATTTTCTTTTTTTGCACTTAGTCACTAAACTTTACTGTGTTTGTTTTTAAGTTATTTCGAAGGATTTCTTTAAAAAGAAAAATCTCATGTTTTTAAAAAAAATTTCAGTTAAAGTTGACATTCAGTGTTATTTTATACTAGGTTTTTTTTTAGATTTTTAAATGATTAATTTTCTTTTTTCTTTTTTTTTTTAATTTTATTTTAATCATTGTTCAAGTACTGTTTTCTCCCTTTTACTCCCAATGCAGCCCCCCTCTCCCAACCCTCCCCTATTTTATACTAGTTTCAGGTGTGCAGCATAGTGGTTAGATGTTACAATTTACAAAGTCATCTGCCCGGTGAGTCTGGCACCCCCGGCACTGCACACAGTTATTACAATGCTACTGACTGCATTCCCTGTGCTGTACTTTACATCCCCGTGACTGTTTTGTAACAGCCAATTTGTACTTTCTAATCTGTTCACTTGAAGGATTTTCTGACTTTTGTAAAATTTTAACTGAAACCTGGATTTAATAGCAACACAGGAGAAAATGGCTTATCGAATATAAGACACATTTGACTTATTAGTCTACTGTGAGTTTTTTTGTAATGAGGGAAGCTAATTTTCATAATTAGGGAAACTAGTTTTGGCCAACTGAAGTGAGAAGGCATGTTTGTTGGAGAAAGGTTAGGTTGGCGCACAGAACCCGAGTGGTGGTCAGACAGCAGACCTCAGGCAGGGGATGAGGCCGCGGGCCTTTCCGGGCCTCCGCGGCAGGAGGCCGTGGGGCTTCTCCCTGAGGACACCCCACCAGTGTTTTAACTTCTTAAGGTATTACAGATTTCACGAAGTGCATTAATCCGTGAGTGCAAGTCAGCAGAATTGTTCATATTTACACACATGAGCATTTATCTGCTGTTACATGTACATGTTTATGTATGGATGTATCCACATACCCATGTATCCACCACCCAGGTCAAGATACAGAACCTTCTCGCTCCTTCGAAGTTCCCCTTGGGTGGAGCACTGCTGTTCGAAGTGAATCTGCATCTACAGCTTCCGCTCTTTGTATATGTCTTTTCGAGTTTTAATTCCTGGGAGAGGGATCTGACTGACCCAGGAGGTCAAGGGCCAGAGCCCCATATCAGAGACTTGGCCACCGGTGGCCACCCCTTTTGGTGCTGCTCCCGGCGAGGGAGTATGGTCATGAGCCAGGGAACCACTCTGGTTGGTGTCTGACTCACACATCCTGTGACCCGAGCACAGGGTCTCACTTTTGTAATTGACCTTTCTTGTGACCTAATTGTTTTCCGTAGAAACCTGTCCTTTGACTCAGAGGAAGAAGACCTTGGCGAGCTCCTCCAGCAGTTCGGAGACCTGAAATATGTCCGCATTGTCCTGCATCCGGACACAGAGCATTCAAAAGGTATTTGCCGTCAGCGTGTCAGGCCCTAAAAGAGTGGAGGCCACTGCCAGGGCACTAATGTGATTACATGAGAACCTCATGTGTGCCCTGGAGGGGTCCTGTTCAGCCCAGGGGTCTGCGGTCCACCGAAGCGCTGAGAACGTTCTGAGGTGGTCATCCACGATGTCAGATTCAGCATCTTTCATGGGGCTGCCAGCCATAATTTTCCTAGCTCGATAAGGCCCTTGCTTGTTTACTTTAGGGTAATGAATTCCATTTGTCGTTTTTTACATTTCAAGTGTAATAGCATCTCATGGGTATTAATCATTCCACGTTGCTTGACATTACTGAGATCTTTTTTAGTTGCATTTGGGGGAGATGGAAGCTGGTAGAAACTTCCCTGCAGTGGTAACAGTCAGAAAGAAAACCATGCAACAGGATGCCGCCGCAGGTTCTTTCCCCTAAGCTGTTTCTTTTGAGCTTCCAGAGTCGGCCACTCCTTATTTCAGTATATTGTTGTGAGGAGACATCTTTTCAACCCATTCATAATCTCTGATTTCATCAGTTGCTGTCGTTCTCCTAAAGCAGTGAATTCTTAATTCATTTTGATTCTTGACTCCTTTGCGATCTACCAAAAGCTGTGAACTCTCTCCTCAGAAAAATGCCACTTCTGAGGGTTTGTGGGCTCTGTGGAGCTTATCCGTGGATTAATAACCTACATTCTAAATCTTCTTATTTTCCAAACTGATGAGACCTGAGCATTTTCTGGGTTTTACTTGGCTAAGAAAGATGTACATTAGGTGGTGTAATGGAAAGAAATGGAACCGCTTCCTGGAGATTAGCAATTTAATCCCAGCTAAGCCATAGGCCAGCTGGGTGATTGTTGGCAAATCATTTCACTGCTGGGGGCTTCAGTTTCTTATCTGTAAAATTAGTGGGTTTAACTAGGGTAATCACTTAAGGTTTTTTTTAGCTCTGATATTCAATTATTCTTCTTGGACCTTCTCCATTGCGAGTACGTTTTCTAAAAGTGGGCAACTGGAGTTGCACAGAATGTCCCAGGTATAGCAGGGCATTGCTTTGCTGTGATGTCTTTTGTCCTTTTTTGAGTGCAACGTATATTGGTATTTTCAAAATGTAGTCTACAGTTGATGACATTCTCTACAATCTCTGTTTTGGTCTGTTAATGGTAGCTGACAGTTAATGATCTTAGTAAGCATAGTTTTCATATTTCTTAATGTATGCCTTTCCCTAGCTCATACTAAATTTTTCTGGCGCTTTTTCTGCCTGTTCACTCATACAGTCTCGGCCCCCTCCTCCAGTTTGTCCCTGTCAGCATGCCCTTTCACTGCCTAGAAGAGCCAAATATTATCTGCAGACTTTTAGGGAAGTGTTCACACTGAACCCAGTACTGACTTTGGAAGTTCCAAGGATAAAATTCTTACCCACTCAGAGGGAAGTATTCATTTTTTTTCATATTAGACAAATAGGCTAATCTGCCTATTAGAAACATTCCCTCCCCCATATTTCTTTATTATTTGTTTCTTTATATCGAATATTTATGAATGCCAAGCATTATGGTAGGTGCTAGGGATATAGAGACAGCCAAGAAACATGGCCCTTATTCTTGAGGCATCCAGTCTCTTTGGGAAGGCGCCACCTGACTGGTGCTATGACAGAAATGTAAATGAAGGTGGGGTGGGGCACTCAGGGTGCCCAGAGGTGGCAGGAAAGACCTCACTAGATGGTGGCCCTTGGGTTGGCCTGCTGATACATTCCTTCAGTTAGTCTGCTGCCAGTGATTCTTTTTTTTTTAACCCTCACCTGAGGACACTTTTTATTGCTTTTAGAAAGAGAAGAAGGGAGAGAGGGCTTAGATAGGAAGGGACGGAGGGAGAAAGAGAGGGAAAGAAACATCGATTGGTTGCCTTTTGTTTGCACCCCGACCAGGAACTGGGCCCTCCACCTAGGCGTGTGCCCTGACGGGGAATCAAACCGGGGCCTTCCGTTTGCAGGACAGCGCCCAACCAGCTGAGCCACACCAGCCAGGGCTGGCATCCATTGTAACGGGGGACAAAAGAGCAGGGCCCCAGTGGCTTTAGGAAATGTAATGTTCCCATATGTGAGGGAATACTGCCCAAATATTATGAAACTTATATATATATATTTTGGAGTCTACCAACAGGTGAACTTCTTTTTTCTTTGCTTATAAAAGCTGCTTTTTATCAGTAGCAGAAAATCGGGTGGGCTGATTGGCCCCGCGTCTACCCAGTGAGATGTACCTGTGGGAGCTCTGCAGCGAGCGCGGGGAGCGGAGCGCACGGTGTCCGGCTCACTGCTGTCCGGCTCACTGCTGTGTTTGTTCGACAGAGGCCGGGGCCTCTGACTCCCAGAGGGGAGTGTCCCCTCGTCTAACGCCCCCCAAGGGACAGTGATGACAGTGAGATCTGTATCGATTTCAGGGTTAAGTGATCGCTGCCTCAGTTTCTGAATCCTCTGATCGGCATGCAGTAAGTGATGCCTGATAAAATGTGAGGCTAGAGTTTCTCCGGCATTTCCTGTGGATATTTGTTATTAAGGGGAGACATGAGAGGACCGAAGTTCTAGGAGCACTGGAAAAGATGGAGGAAGTAATAAAATCTCACTTGTGAGCAAGTGTGCTGCTTTGTCTGTCTTCGACCCTTCAGCGCCTGGCACAGTGCCTGTCTCACGGCGCCTCACGGAAGGAGGCCACTGCTCCCCATCCTGCGTCAGCCTGCCTCCTCCGCGCATTGTCTGTGGCTTCCTGGGGGGCCATGGGGGTGCAGCAGCTCACTTAGTTTTGTCTCCCCGTGCAGGCTGCGCGTTTGCTCAGTTCATGACTCAAGAGGCAGCTCAGAAGTGCCTTGCAGCTGCTTCTCCAGAGGCTGAGGTAAGGAAGACGTGTCCTCTACCTGTAACGTAGGCGGTGGTGGTTCTTAGGGGCGACAGCTGGTGTTTATGTAATAAGTAGTAAAGTGATAATACTAAAGTTAACATTTTTTGAACATTTAGTTAGGTACTCTCATTAGATAGGCATATACATTGCCTTATTTAATCCTCATATTAGCCCTATAGGGTTATGTGAGGTTGGTACCATTATTATCCCTATGTTATAGGTGAGAATGGGGAGAAGGATGTACCCGGTACTCACTGACCACTGTCTGTGTGTCAGCCTCCGTCCCAGGCCGGTGACACCAAGGACTGGGACGAGAAGGGAGTGGGCCGTCTGCGAAGTGTGGTTGGGTGTTTGCGAGAGAGAGAGAGAGTGTGGGCGACGCAGAGTTTTCCCATGTGTTCCATGACCAAGTGTAAATTGTTTTCAGATAGTTTTATGTTATCGCCATAGTCTCTTAAATTTTCTTCAATAGAGTTAACACTACCATTTCATTAGCTTTCTTTAGATTACTAAAAATTGCCCAGGTTACAGATCATTTTCCTCAGTTTGGGCTTACTTTGGGCCTGATCACCGCCCATAAGATAAATTACTTACTGCCGACGGCCCTGAGCACACGCATGCCCTTTCGCACAGCTTTAGTCAATACCATTAGCTGGGCCAGAACGTCTTGGGGTTGGGCTCCATGGCTTAGTTGGGGTCCACTGGTTCCCATTCCCAGGTGCTCCTTGTCAGGGGCTTAGTTTTCACGTGTGACGTGTTTTAAGAGAGAGGGTTGCAATGTGTTAACAGGGTGGTGGGCTGAAACTGGATGGCCGGCAGCTCAAGGTGGACTTGGCAGTGACCCGTGACGAGGCTGCAAAACTCCGGACCAAGAAGGTGAAGAAGCCGAGTGGGACCCGGAACCTGTACCTGGCCCGCGAAGGCTGTGAGTAGCGGAGGGGAGGCGCAGGCTGGGCCTCTGGGGAGCGGGCCTTGTGCTGTGACAGGGGCCCCGTGATGTTATGTTGGGGGCACGTTCACAGTAAAACCCCAAGTGTCCTCTTCAGCAGTGTTATGTTGTTATTCCACTTCAGCGATGTCGCTTTCCTTTAGGAAAACCGTACCCGATTTGTAAGTGAACCAGTCTCGTCGTCTTTTCTGCCCACTTGCCTTTAGTCCTTTTCATCAGAGGGCAAAGAGGGAGTAAAACCTCAAATTACCTCTGCTTCCTATCATCATTTTTAATAAGAGGTTTTCTGAAGGGGTGAAAATTATGACTAAATTACTCTTTTGAATATTCATGGGTCTAAAATGTGCACTGAGGTGGGGTCAGTGGATTGAGTGCTGGCCTCCAAGCCAAAGGGTCACTGGTTCGATTCCCAGTCAGGGCACATGTGTGTTGCAGGCCAGGACCCCAGCAGGGGGTGCATGAGAGGCAACCACACATTGATGTTTCTCTCCCTCTCTTTCTCTCTCCCTTCCCCTCTCTAAAAATAGATAAATAAAATCTTTAAGAAAAACAAAAATATACTGAGTGCCTTCCCCTTAATTCCAGGAAGATGGTTGGAAATTAGGTTTCATTAAAAAATAAAATAGAGAACCCCTGCCTCCAGGCCATACAGTATTTGTCAGCCCACTTGCTGCACAGCTGCACAGCCCGGACTAGTGATGTTAGGTCACTAGCCTTCCGTACTAGGCCTCTATATGGTGATGTGGCTGTTTCCTGGGCTGGCTTACTTCACCACCTAGTAATGGCCCCCAAGTACATGAAAAGCAGTGAAATTCTGAGGGCAGGGTATAGGTAGAGCAGTTTTGCAGGCCACATGCCTAAAATGTACTTGTTTTCAGAACTTTAGGCTTTCCCATCTGATGTTGAGCATGTTGATGGAGCTGCTTTGAGGGGAGGGAAGGAGAAGAGGAACAAAATTACAAAATGTTCAGAGTGTGTGTTCTTGAGAGCAGCCCGGAGCTGAGAACGTAGCCCTGTAGCCTATTTCTGGTCCTACCCAAATGCCGCCGTGTCCTGGCCAGCATAGTCCTCTGGGCCCTGTGCAAAGAGCTTGCATCACTCAAATCACATTCCTCTTGTTGCTCAGTGAAAATTCCCTTGCTGATGTCCTGGCCTTTTTCCTTCTTTCTGCAGTGATTCGTGCTGGGACGAAGGCTGCAGAGGGTGTGAGCGCTGCCGATATGGCCAAAAGAGAACGGGTGAGTAGGTCAGGCATCAGCCTCCAGGATTTGCACGAGGTATTATATACATCAATAGATAGTAATTATTGAATTCAAAGGTGCTCCTCAAAGAGCTGAGTATCAGTGACAAGCTATACTTATACTGCTGATAGAGAAAAAAGAAGCACACAGGTGAGATAGCAAGTAACCCAATATTACATGAGCGTATAACATTCTGTCAGCATTATATGCCATTATACGAGCTGGATCTTGATTTTTTTAAATTTATTTTGAGAGAAAGGGGGAAGGGAGGGAGAGAAATATCAGTGTGTGGATTCCTCTCACATGTGCCCTACTGGGGACCTGGTCTGCAACCCAGACACGTGCCCTGACTGGGAATTGAACTTTGATTCTCAGGCTGGCACTCAACCCACTGAGCCGCACCAGTCAGGACACAAGCTGGATCTTATTCTTTATTTTCCTAATGCTCAGCAGTAAATATTTGCTGAATAGTATGCTTGGAGATCGATCATACAGCAGACAGAGGCTAGGGCTGTGTATTCAGTATAACTAGGTGTCAGTGTAAATGCAGGATAACCTGAGAAAGGAAGTTCAGAGTAGGCTGGAATAAGTAGGGAGAAGGTAGATGTGAGTCTGGGATAGTAAATGTGTCCAGTTGGGGAGGAGGAGGATGTCTCTATGGATTATAAAACCATTTTTGGAAAGCTCCAAGTTATGAGAGTTTCCACTGCTAACTGATGCCATTCAATTCCTCTACTGCCTGGTAATGTCAGTTCTCCGTAACTTTTACTTTTGCCGTATAGCCTACTTTTAAAAAGCTAAGCCAACCTCGAGTGGTAAAGATGCATAACCATTAACAGAACTGGCTGTGACACCTGAAAGTGCAGACGATGGTGGGCCGGGGTGAGAACGACAGTGAGAGGCAGTGCGTCTCTCTGTGTTCGGTTTCCTGCCTAGAGCTCTCGCCCTTTTTTGTAGAGAGCCCCTGGAAAGGATGGTATTCGGGGGCACTGCACGCCCTTTTCTGACCATAATGCAATGAGGACACACTTAATTTTCTCTTAGAACGAATTTTTCTAGCAAAAAGCTCACTAGGTGATCTGCATTGTAATTCACTGCAGGCACAGTGGTTCCTGGAAGGAGTGTCAGACTGTCGAACTGAGGCCTCTCCAAATATCCCTCTGCTATCATTTCCAGAGTATCTGTTCATTTTGTGATTTGTTAGTACCTTTGCCAGACAAGGATCAGCAGGAATGAGAGGCTTAATTAATTTAAAACTTTTCTCTACTAACCTAATTTTAAAAACAGACCAGGAGAAGAGTGTAACCCTTTTGATTTTAGAGACAGGCTGCGCTGGGGTCCGAGCTCTGTGCAGCGCATAGAGGCTGGTGCTGTAGGGGCCGACGTCGGTTCGTGGTCATGGTCAGCCCTCTGCCTCAAGGTGGCAGAGTGGAGACGAGACAGTGTTCTCTCAAGTACTTAAACACATCGCATTTCCTTTTGAAAGGACTAGGTAGTTTGAGCTGGCAGGTCGATCAGGACTGCGCATAAATGTTAACGACAGTATTATTTATTATTTACTCTGGACCAAGTTTTGAGGTCAGGATTTTATGTATATTTCCACATTTTGGCCTAGCATTACTGCTGAGAAGTTACATTTTGATCTACAGTTCCACTTAGTAGGTGAAAAAAAATTGTGGCTTAAAAAACTTACAGGTAACTTTTCCAGTTGGGCTGGGTTCCGTCTGATTCTGCCCATGACTCTGTCAGCCCCCCACCATCTTGCCCCCTGAACCTCTCTTTCCTTGTGCTGGGCATCAGAAGGCTGCAGGGTGGGAGATTTCCCTCCTTTTTACGTATCTAGTTATTGGGTGGGGTCATGGTTCTTTCCTTTTGGAGAACTGTGAGCCTGCATTTTTAAAGGGTGGATCGGACTGTTAACAAGTCATTGTTCTTTTAGTTTGAGCTACTGAAGCATCAGAAACTGAAGGACCAGAATATCTTCGTCTCCCGCACCAGGCTCTGCCTGCACAATCTTCCCAAGGCTGTGGATGACAAACAGCTCAGAAAGCTGCTGCTGAATGCCACCAGCGGGGAAAAGGGGGTGCGCATCAAGGAGGTGAGAGTTGGCCCCGCCTGCTCAGAACTCTAGTGCCCGTCCTGGGTGAGATGGAGCATTGATTTTCAGGCTGTGCTGCCAGCAGATTGACAGATTTTCTTGTGGACACATTGCCAGCAGACAGGGCTGAGTTTGGCAGTTTTCATGCCTGTTTTTTTTCCTCTTCTAAGAACTGCTTTTCACATCTGACCAAATTGCAGTAGAATGTGAGGATGTCTCTGCCCTAGTGAAGTATTTTAGCAAGCATTTATTGAATCCCTGCTGTGTGCTCAGCATTATACCAGGTGCTGTAATGTTAATTTTCTTGCAGAGAAAATAATCTGTATGCTGTGCTGTTTAGAAGAGCATTTTATTACCATTTACCTTGGCCTGTGGTAAGCACTCCCAGGGCCCCGTGCCGAGCGCAGGGAGCCGTGCAGGTCTGCAGCAGCTGTGTGAGCAGGCACCGGGTTCACACCACCGAGACGTGCTCAGACACTGTGGGAGCGGAAACGTCTCTGCTCCCCCACGGCACCCTTTGCCTACCAGGGTCGTAGCGCTTGCTTATTACACCGTCCTGAGATTGTCAGCCGTTCCTCTGACCAGACCGAGCTCTTCGAGGGCGAGTGTCGTCTCACTGTTCCCAGTCCTTGGCTCAGCACCAGGCACATAGTGGTCCACTGGTCGGTGTTTACTGAGAAAGTAACGGAGCCAGTATTACGAACCTGCTCTGCTCTGTTTCATCATTATAAACTTTTCCTCGGCTCGGAAAGCCACACCCAGATGTCTGGGGTTGGTGTTTGGGGAATTCCGTGAGAGAATGTGAACGTACCAGCACGCATCTGACGCTGCTCTTGACAGAGAGAGCTGTTGGGGGTGGTGCGGGAACAGGGGCAGTTGTGGTGCTCCTCGTGTCAGCAAGTGTGCACACAGTTAAAACCTGTCATTGTCTGGAGAAGTTTATGCGTTTTACAATATTTTCATTGTACTGAATTTTCTCTGTAATTCTTTCATAGGTGTATGTGTAGCGTCTCCCCAAGATAGTAAGCTTCTTGAGGGCAGGAACCCTATTTTATGCTTCTCTTGATTTCCCTGCAGGAGATGGCACAGTTCTAGCACAGAGCAGGTACCAGCCGTGTACCAAGTGTTCCTAACGTTAGACCTCGCCCATACATGACAGTTGCAGCTCTCAGGAGTAATAGCGTGTGAACGATCAGTTTTCCCAGAATTCCTTCCTGTGCCTTAGTGCCCCAGGACGCCTAGTATATTCAGCTAGAGGATTTAGGGAAAGGTCACAGCAGAGAATCTGGTTGCCAAGCAAAGACAGCTGAAGCTGGTTTCTGTTTTTCTGAGACTGCGTGTTGGGCAGGCTCTTCCCTATGCCGGAAATGTCTGTCTTATCTGAAGCCATCAGGCCCTTCTTCATCAGTCTCCCTTCTGAGTGGTTTCTACAGTGACGGGATATGGGGACTCACTTGATCCTCAGTGCTAACTTACTATGCAACTTCAGGTGCCACGGGCCTCTCAACCTGTGTATGTTGATTTGTACAATAGTTAGCTACTATCATTTTCCCTTGACAGGTTGGTTTTAGATGCATGCTTATCTGTAGGTTGGTGTTAAACTCTTGGAAAGCATGACAATATGAATTTAATTTGTTCTGTGCTCTCAGTAGTGCTGTTCTGCCTAATGAGATGGACAGTCACAGGTGTCATTTCAGTACAGCTCTGGTGGTGGCGATCTGGATGAAGAATCTGTCCCCAAAACAGATTTCTTGTTGAATCTGTTACGGCTCTTCATCCGGTAATTGCTGATTCTTTTTCTTCTTCTACTCATAGTGTCGGGTGATGCGGGACCTCCGAGGAGTTCGTGGGAAGATCAAGGGTCAGTCCCTGGGCTACGCCTTCGCGGAGTTCCAGGAGCACGAGCACGCCCTGGCAGCCCTGCGCCACGTCAACAACAACCCCGAGATCTTTGGGCCTCAGAAGGTGAGCCTTGTCCTGAGGGGAGGGCTGTCCCCCTGAGGGCCGCTCGCAGAAAACCGTCCCTCTCCTTTGCGCCTGGTGCCCTCCTGACACTTGAGTGATGGGAAACAGTACCAAGCTGATGGAGGCAATGAGCGGTGGCTCAGGTAATGAAATGATTGGCAGGAACTCTAAGCCGGGTAGGCTGTTTGCACAGCTGGCCCCTTACCTCTGAGGAGAGTGAGTGGCCACCTCCGCCTTGCAAAAGAGAGGGCACTGGTGGGGGCAGCTCAGCTTGCTGCACTCAAAGATTAGGAAATCTGATGAGTGATGTTCTGTCTGCTTCTGACGCAGAGGCCGATAGTGGAGTTCTCTTTGGAAGATCGAAGGAAGCTTAAAATAAAGGAACTGAGGATCCAGCGCAGCCAGGTACAGAACCGAAATGTTTTTTTCTGCTTTTGTTTTGTTTTTAAATTGTGGTTCATAACACATAGCATAAAACTTAACTGTTTTTAAATGCATAGTTCAGTTAGAACGACTTCTAAAGGCCATGTTTAAGCTTCTGTTCAGTCTGCAGTCCTGCCCCCTTGAAGTAGGTCTCTACCTCAGCAGGTTCTTTGTCACCCTTGACTTTCAGTTCCCTAGCACTCTCCAGGCCCCTTCCCCTCTGCCGCCTGTCTGGTGACAGCTCCACAGGCGGGGGCGAAGGAGGAAGGAGGAGCAGACCAATGTTATTCCCAACCAGCAGTTCTCGTGCAGTGCTGGCTGATGGTGCTTGTCAGAATTAATAGTTAAGATTAAAGTGTTGCCTTACTTGTAGATTTAAGCTGTCTCTTTCATAATTCATTCTTTCTTCAGGCGGGTACAAAAATGTGACGCTTGGTAGTCTCAGTGCTGCTTTTAATCCAGTGTGATATGGAGGGAAGAACGGGGACTGCGGGGACGGGATACTTGTGTTCAAACTCGGCCTCTGCTGCTTTCTTTTTTTTTAAAGATTTTTGTTTATTTTTAGAGAGAGGGGAAGGAAGGGAGAAAGGGGGAGAGAAACATCAATGTGTGGTTGCTTTCTGAGTGCCCCCCCCCCCCCACGGGGGCCTGGCCCGCAGCCCAGGCATGTGCCCTGACCGGGAATCAAACCTGCTGCCCTTTGGTTCCCAGGCCGGTGCTCAATCCACTGAGCCACACCAGCCAGGGCTGCTTTCCGAGTTCCTCGGCAAGTTACTGCTTTTCTCAGCTTCATTTTCTAGTTTGTGAAATGAGATTAATAGTGTTTGTCTCGAGTGCTTAATGAGGATTACATGAGTTACTACATGTAAGTTGTCTCACGTGTGTGTGGTCAGCACACAGTTCATACTCAGTCTCTTACCCATCCTCCCCTAGGTCACATAGGACCAGACGATTCTTGATACCAAAGCTCTTAGAGCTGATATGGCTGCTGTATCTGAGCATGCACAGTGCCAAGCATTCATAGCCTCTCTGGTGCATTGTGTGGGCATGAGCCATGGAGGGCAGGGTCAGGGGTCAGTACGTGCCCTGGGTGGAGAACCTGGATGTGGTTTTTGTGGAGGACAACTTTGTTATCCTGAGTTTACTTATGCCTTAAGTCATTGCTTCAGGTGATTCTGAAGCTACTGACTTAAAAAAACAAAACAAAACCGTTCTGACGACTTTATTTGCTGCCATCATTTATGTCCATACTGCTCTTTGTGTAAAAGTGCCCCGGCCACCTGACCCAGATTCCGTCTTCACACCCAGTGTCCTTCCTCAGGGAGCATTTCTCCGCCTCTCTCAAAGGAGATGCGATCTCATTATCTGCACCTTCTTGAACTTCCTCAGACTCTCCTTTAGTGTTCACTTCACTGTATTGTGTGCATGTCTCTTATCTCCATGAGTCTGACACTGATCTCACCATCTGTGCCCTTCCCACTCTGAAGCAGAGACTGGCGCGTAACAGGCATCTGGCAGGTCTTCGCGCATCACTATGCCGATCTCAGTTTTCAGGTGAAAGCGCAGGTGACAACAGTAATTTCATGTGAATCTTCCTTTTCTTTTTCCACTAAGTGCAACATAAATACGTACCAACCCTGATGCATTTATTCATTCTCTGAGGTTTTCTGTATGTAGGTTCGTGTTCCTAACCTGGGTCTTTTTTCTTCTCTGAGGAAATGCATTTGGCATTTTTCGAAAGGCATGTCTACTGGTGACAGATTTCTGTTAACTTCGTTTGAGAAAATCTTTATTTTTCTTTCACTTTTGAGGGATAATTACACAGAATAGAGAATTCTAGGTTGGTGATTTCCCCCACCCCCACCAAACTTTAAATATTTCACTCTATTCTTTCCTTGTTTACATTCTTTCTGAGGAGAAATCCAGTGTAATGTTATCTTTGTTTCTCTGTAGGTAAGGGGTCCCCCCACTCTTCTTCTGTTTCTCTTTTCCTTCTCCTGGAATTCCCATTATACACCCGTCATACCTTTGTAGTTGTTCCACGCTACTAGCTGCCTTTTTCTTGCCGACTTTGCTCGCATCTGGTGCGTGCATGTGCTTTCCCCGTGTCTGCACATGGAAGGGGCAGTGGCTATTGTGTGCCCCACCCAACAACCAGCTGTTCCCATATTAGGGCCTGTGAACCACTTGTATCCACTCTCCTGTAGTCTCTGTCTCGGGACGAACTTTTTCACTAAGCTCACATAAAGCTCCTCTTGAGCTGAGTGGTTCTAGCATATAAACCTCATCCAGAAACCAGATGGTGGTCTCTTGTTTATGCAGCAACAAGTGAAATCCAAGTCCACGGCTGGTGAGCCCCAGCAGGAGCAGCAACAGAAAGCAGCTCAAAACCACACTGTGGAGCAAAGCGAGGCCCCCCCAGAGCGGAAGGGGAGGGCGGGCTCTGCGTCGTGGTCCGGATTCCAGACCAAGGCCGAGGTCGAGCACGTGGAGCTGCCCGATGGGAAGAAGAGAAGGAAGGTGCTGGCACTCCCCTCACACCGAGGCCCGAAAATTAGGTGAGATGCAGGACGGCGGTGTGGGACACAGGTGGCTTCGGAGAGGGTTTGCTTCTGCTTAGCTCTTTTCCTCTTGGTGGCTTCTGTGTGGACGGCCAGGGTGCTTCGTGCTGCGCCAGTGCCACATATGAAGGGTTAAAGCACAAGCAGAGGGGCGTTCCTGGATCACACTGAGGCCAGAACGGGACTGGCAGCGGGGGCCTTGGGGAGCCTCCCAGGGCGGGCTTCCGCGCCATTCCCTCCTCGTCCGGAGAGCCGCCTCCTGTGCCGGTGGCCGTCTGTCAGCTGAGGCTTGCCCACCTGAGGTTCCCCGCTGTTTCTGTTTGGGGCAGTGGTTGAGTGCTATGAGCAAAAGTTGTTCTTTAAAAAAATATTTGTTAAATAAAGGGTTTTTGAGATTCTCTTGAGGTTTTAAACCAAAACAAAAATGAAATATACAAACGTTGAGTCATAGGACGTTCTGTTGCAGTATCCCTTTTTAGAATGACTTATCCTAGGCTTAGAAGAGGCCAGGGTGAGAAAAGGCGTTTTATCTTCCTGGCTGAGCGAACCTCAGGAGTACCAATTAGAGGAAGAACTTGGGATGACTCTTGACCGTTTGTTTCAGGTTGCGGGACAAAGGCAAAGTGAAGTCTCTCCCTCACAAAAAGCCAAAGCCCCAGGTAAACCAGCGGCAGCAAGAGAAGCAGAAATCCTCCTCCAAGCAGGTGAGTCTGTGGGGCGCGAGGCTTTGTATGACAGGCCCTGCTGGGGCTGGCGGTCGCTCCTGCGCCCTGATGAGTTCTGGAGAAAGGAAGGGCTCCGGACTGCAGCCACGTGTCCGGCTTCAGGGGGTGTGGAGGTGCGTGGTCCTGAAAGTGGGGAGAAGAGGAAAACAGGCCCCCACACATCAGTTACTGTGCTTCCACAGTTACTTGCCTCCAGTATGTTGAAGTAAACTTCACTTCACCCGTAAAATGTGCCTTGTGTGGAAATGGATATTGCTCAGAAAAATACCTCAGAAAAATACCCCAGAATGCATCTGCAACTGATCAAGCCTTAACCACACACACAGCACTTCACATCGAATGAACTTTTAATAAGAATCCTTAAAGTCTGGTGCATAGCCATATTAAAATGTCCCCAATTACCCCAAAAATGCTTTATAGTTGGTTTGTATGAATCAGGATTCAAACAAAGTGCACATATTAATTTGGTTTTTATATCTCTTAAATTTTTCCCCCATAAGATCCAGTCTTCCTCGCCAGCCCCTGTTCTCCCATGCTGTTAGTTTGTGGGTGAGACCGGGTCGTTTCCCTCTTAGAATGTCCTGCGCTTCGGGTGGAGCTGCTTTGCTCCCCGTGGCGTCGCATAACTCGTTCCTGTAGCACCGCGTGTTGTCTGCACACTGGTAGTGAGGTCTAGAGGCTTGATTGGATTCAAGTTCGTTTTCTTGGCAAAAGTACCTCGTAGGTAATGCTGGGTGCTTTCTGGTGCATCATATCCTAAGGCATCTAACGTCTGGGTGCCCCATTTTTGGTGATGCCCAAATTCACCTGTGGGTTTGGGGATTGTCTGCCTCGTCCCTCCATTTGCGAGGTCCTCCGTCAGCCTCTCACCCGATGGCTTTGGCACCACCGAGGGCTGCCGTTGAGATCCACCATTTCGGTGTGGGTTGCCGAGTGGTGATTTTCTAATTCTGTCAGTCCTTTTGCATTTTTTAGTAGAATTCCAGAACAAAGAATCTTTCCAACTTTTTGGTTACTGTGAAAGACCACTTATGTGGTGGACAAGAACTCTGCCTACTTGTTTTCTCTCTTGGGCGGCCTTAAGGTAAGGGGATACTTACTGCTTGAAGTTGATTGTCTTTTGTTTCCTTACCTGTCGTTTGCAGGTGCCTAAGAAGAAAGCTAAGGGAAATAAGACAGAAAAGCGCTTCAACCAGTTGGTGGAACAGTATAAGCAGAAACTATTGGGACCTTCTAAAGGCGTGCCTCTTGCGAAGAGGAGCAGATGGTTTGACAGTTGATGATGCCGGCAGACTGGACAAGAAGCCAGACTGCGCGCTTCTCGGTAGAGCTCCCTGGCCCAGCCCACCCCTCCCCTCGGTGTCTGTGCTGAGGGAAGGAAACCCCCTGAGGGCACCGTCAGTGTGTGGGGTGGCTCCCCGGGCTGCGCACACCCGGACTTCGTGCAGTTAGTTAACCGTGAAGAGAGAGATCAGAAAAACATTGTGATGCTTCTTGCACATTATCCAGATTATCATGTGAACTTGTGTCTGTAGTTATTGCCCATTTTAATTCTCTGTTTCTCAAATGGAAACAATTGTAAAATGCATTCTTGAGTGCTGAATTTTTAAAATGTATATTTTTAGTGTCTTCTCTAAATAAGATATTTTGTGGCTTTTTGAGTAACAGCCTCTCATTTCTACTATATGTGAGTCCTTTATTATTTATGGACATTTTTGACAACCCTAACTCCAGTTTCAGAGTCCTATGTGCTGCAGGAATTGATTAAGAAGGAGCAGAGAAAAATCATTTCCAATCTAATCTCTGAGGGTGGGGAAACTCACTCGGAAAGTAATTGAGGGCAGCGGGGCCTGGCAGAGAGCAATATCTGATAACTGTTTGCCAAGTGAGTGGGTTATTGGTGGTAGTTGACAGGAAGTCAGCTGTCAGTGGTCTGCAGACTGCAGCCTGGCCGGTGATACCCGGAGTTTTCTGTCACTGGGCGCCTCCCCCTAGGGACGTAGGGGGCGGAGGTGGCCGACAGGGCAGTGAGCTTGAGGCCTGGGCTGTCGCCTGACCGGCCTTCACCTAACGGATGGTCTGGAACCAGACACAGACTCTCTGGGTCTTAGTTTACTCACCGATGCAATGAGGAGTTTAACTAAAAATTTCGTGTGATCCTTCCCAGCTCTAAACTCAATTTTGTACGCATGTTCATATTCTTTCTCTTACTAACCTCCCAGCAGGGAGAGATGACTTTCATTACTTTTCAGAATTTCTGGTGTCACAAAAGCTGGGAGGGAGGGTGAACACTAAGAAAGTGGAGGTCCGAGAGGATCACGATAGCCTGGAGGGACGGAGTGCGTTTGACCTGATGAAGACCACCGGGAACAAACGTAAATTCCCTCTGGTGGGAGGGTCTGAGCCTGCATTATGCAGGAATAGCACGGCTGCCACAGTGTAACAGGCTGTGCTGACGGACGTGGGGTGTCTCCAGTAAGCCTCTAGTTCTCTGCGCTGGCCAGACCACACCTGTAAGACACGTGTGATGACGGAGCTGGCCAAGGAAATCAAAATGTCACATGGAAACTAAACTGGTCATGAGTTGGTTGCTCTTGGTCTTGGGTAAATAAAGATTTGTTATACTGTTCTCTTCTATTCTCTCTGCTTTTGTGAACGTTTGAAGTTTCCCATACTAAAAAGTTAACAGTCAGATGAATAACTGCTGCTCACCTGCCTGAGAAGAGAATTCCTGCGGTGTGACGGCTGTTGGTAGGGCCCAGGAGTGTCAAGGGGCGGATGGCTCCAAGGCAGAAGGAGTCAGATCTGGGCTCAGAGTAAGGAAGAACGTTCGTGCCGGTGGAGCTTGAGTCCGTCCCTGGAACAGCCCAAGTGTATGGTGTAGTAGGCCTGTCGTGCTGCCCCGAGCATTCCGGTACTGGGGACTGGGCTAGAAGCGGTGCCAGCGATCAGTCAGCTCCTACTGTTTGGTTCTGAGGTGACCTGACATGCCACATGTCCTACCCCAGTCCCTGAGGCCCCTTTCAAGAGAGCACCTGACCATTCTCTGTGTGATGTCCTTTGTGTGCTTGGTCCTCCCTCAGTCTGCACCGTGGTTGGGGTGGGGGAGCCCCTGCTTACAGCCTCCAGTGGTTTCTCACCTCACTTTTTTTTTGAGGTATGAAAGTGAGTTGTGTTTTTTTTTGATGGACATACAACATTGTATGGGTTTTAGGCATCAATGTAATTATTCACCATTTATATATACTACAAAATGGTCATCACAGTAAGTCTAGTTAACACTCGCCACCATGCATAGCTTACAGAATTTTTTTCCCCTTGTGATGAGAACTTGCAGGATCTGTTCTCCTAGCAGCTCTCAGCTTTTCAACACGTTACTGTCACTGGGGTCGCCGTGCTGCACACGACATCCCCGGGGCTTATTTACCGTGTAACAGGGAGTTCGTGCCTGTTCACGCACCTTGTGCTCCCCCTGCCCCCCCAGCTACCGGTCTCTTCTCTATGAGCATAGAGCCTGTGAGCTTGGGGCTTTTTTGTTTGTTTTTGTTTTTTAAGATTCCATATATAAGTGAAATAACACTGTATTTGTCTTTGAACTTATTTGTCTTAGTATAATGCCCTCAGAGTGCATCTGCGTGATAGCACATAGCAAGATTTCCTTGTTTTTTATGGGCGGATATTATATATATTCACCACATTTCCTTTATGTGTTTGTTGGTTCTCATTTCACTGTGACTGAAGTTTCCCCTTTTCCTCAGAGCATGCGATGCCCTGGGCGTCGGGCCCCCGTCACCCGTCCCACCTGATCTTCATGCACTCCGCCCCTTTCACTGTCTGTGGCCGCACAGGCCTTCCTCAGTGCCTCGGACTCTCTGCCACCTCAAGCCTTGGAATCTATTTTCTCGGCTTATCACTCAGGTCCCCACTGAGCTGTCACTGCCTCCGGGAGCTCTCCCCTGACGAAAGGGGGACTCTCCTCCCCTCTGTCCTGCCAGCACTGAATTCTGTTACGCCGTTTACTTCTTTTTCTAGCACTCATCTGTCTCTGCCTGGAAGTGTTTCTCTCCCCTGGTCTATAGGAATTGTGAGCGGAGCTTACTCGGTCCTGGAGACACAGCACCTAGAATCGAACCCGGCACCTAGTAGGTATTGAGTAAATATTTTTTGAATGAAAAAAATAAAGGGGCAAAGGAAGAAACAGTACTCGGCAGGCCAGAGAAAGAGTTAAATATAGCCCAAAGTTCTTGGTCCCCTCATCCAGCCTGGTGCTGTAATAAATGATGCTTCCTTCAGAACTATTGCTGACCCAGGGATATGGCTGTTTCATTGCGGTGCCTTGGGAAACCAATGAATGCTCAAAAAATGCCCTTAATTGGTTTAAAGATGGATAAAGCAGAGACCATTGAAAAGATTTAAACCTTCTGGGGAGAACTAAAGGACGGGGCTTTATTTCCAGGTGCCTTGAGACAGCATGAGTTGAAGAGTTTCCAATGTTCTTGCAGTAACTTGGCAGCGTGACACCTTTCCCGAGTCTGGGCGCCGTGGTGGGGGCACGACGCTTAACTATGGACCCGCACGGAGCCTGCACAGCCTGCCTGTCGGCCGGTCAGCTCCCCACAGCCAGCCCTGGCTGCTCAACAGACACCTTTTCCTGGTGTACAGACACTTATGAATTAACATTCAAAAATATATCTTAATATTTAGGATAGATGAGAATCAGTGTTCATTCAAATAGTTTTGACAGATGTTTTTAGGTCTAGCTATTCTGTCAGCTTTAGCAACCCAGGGTGTTTGAAACATTCACCTGCTTGAAGTGTTCTTTTAAAAAAGTAGTAGGACAAAATACCCACTTTCTGCACAACCCGGTTCCTGGTGTGGTGTCCTTTGGGTGGTCTGGGCAGCCCCACTGCCCCTGGCCTGGGGAGCAGTAAAGCAGAGAGTTGCGCTCACTTCCTCACTTCAGGGCCTGACTTTGGTGGGTTGTTAAGCATGAAAGTGGAGCTGCAGACCGTGTGGTTAAAAACAGCCACCATGTTGTCGGCCTCTGAGGCCGAGGGCCGTCAGTGAAAACTGTCAAGTTTCACTAGTAGTTTTCTGTTTGGTTATGCAGCACTGTGGCCCCGACATATTTTCTTTAAATAAAGAGTCTTAAGATTGTGTGCTTGCTGTTTCTTTGTGGCAGGGGTGGGGGCTTTGGGGGAGCGGTGAGGGTGAGTGTTACTGAACAAAGTGGAATTTGGCCGCCAGCCGCGGTACATGAGCATGACACCATATTGGTGGGAAAGGAAAGGGGTCTCTCTTAAAAGGTTGCCCAATTCGGGGGAGCTGGAGGCTCCGCAGTTCCAAGCCATTCTTTTCTGCAATACACAGAAAGAAGCCAGCCCCCCGCCCCCCGCCACCCCGTCCCCCACCAGAATCAGTGTCCAGACACCCTGCTCCATTCTTATGGGTCCTCCTGGGGCCCAAGGCTGTTCTGTGAATGGGTCTCTGTCTCTCCAGCCCCAGGCTCTCTCCCTCTCCAGGGTTCGAACTTGTGGGGCCAGGGTCTTCATCGCCGCGCCACAACTTCCTCCCCTCCTGGAGCCAGGGCGCACTGCCAGAGCACTGCAGCCAGTTGTGCAAGAGGCTCCATCGGTGAGCCCTCAGTGTCCGAGGCTGCTCATGCCCCCAGGGCCGGTGAGTGCCCCTGGCCCGCACATCTGTGTCCCACTCTCAGAGCGAGAGACCGGGGGCAGCCCAGGACCCCTGCCATGAGGCAGGGGCTGCTGCACGCCTGCTGCTGGCAAGGCGTGCATCTCGTGCAGGATTCCGCCTCCACGAGCTGGCTCCCGACCATGCACATAAGGGGAGTGCAAAAAAGGGGATGCGTTTGCCCTCTCTTTTAAATCTTCCAGCCCCAAATCCCACACGGGGTGGAAGTGTCCAAATTTCCAGCCAATCTAGGCCAGCATCCCCCACACATGTCACCCTGCACAGCGTCTCTGCCCCCCCTCCTGCCGCCACTATCCGGAAGCGGGTAGGAGGGTGTCTAGCCGTGCACAGGGGCACAGCGTCCCTGTCCTGGTAGGGCGTCACCATGTTCACCTCGATGATGCACGTGTGTTGTGACCTTCGCAGCTCGTGCATGTGAGGTACAACTTAGAGCCTCTTCAGTTGTTTACACCCTTCCCTGGGGTACGGAAGCCTGTTGGTTGCAATTTCAAGCCTCTGCCTTTGGCACTTTCTGACCCCTCTTGGGCGTCCCTCTTCTCTGCCCAGCCACGTGGCCAGACTTCTGTGTTTCAGGGGTTTTTATTTTTGTTGTTTGGCTGCTGGTGGTTTTGAAGAACTGCTCCCTGGCCTGGCCCAGGACGTGCAGTCCCTTCCTCCAGACCCAGCCCACGGCAAGGTGTGTTCTTCCACTGTCTTCAGATGAGAGTTCTGCTTCCTCTGTTACAGAGTTAAGGCATATGAACTCATTGTTCAAAACACTTCAAACATCCTTTGGTATGTTTTTGCCTTGAAAAGAGGTTTTCCGACTAAAAGTTCAGGGCCCAGAACCTCAAGGCGTGGGCCACCTGCTTCTCACCATGTATGTGGCCTTCAGTCATCTGAGGAAGCAGGGGCTCACACACGCTGCAGTGAGTGCTGACCGCCCAGAAGCTGACGCTCTCTGGCTGACTCGACTAGGCAGTTCTGCGCTTGGTGCCCCTGCAGCTCACTTTTTGTGAAGTGACTGACAGGCATCGGCCAGCTGTCACAGAAGAAGCAACTCTGCCCATGCAACGTGGAAGGTTCTTGGCGTCTCTGCAGCCCGCTCACGGTGGTAGTCGCATCATCACACTCTGAGGATGCCCGAGGTAAGTTCGTGTTTCAGTTGGTCTCAGGCGATGCCCAGCTCCTGCTTTGCCCCACTCTGCCCTGACTGGTGCTTTAAGGGCCAGGATTAGGTCACTTTGTCTCTCTCAGGCCAAGTAAAGCCTGCCTTCTGCCCAAGATCGACCAATTGAGAAGTTCACCACATGCGTTGCCTTATTTTGCTTATTGCATTCCTGTCCTCTTCCTTTGCAGAATTAATTGCAAAGGAAGCAATTCCTCGGTGGCCCAGCCACAGGGGAGCTATCGGTACATCTGCAAGGACTCTGGCCTCTGGTTCTGAGCTGGTGCTCAGGTGCAGACCAGCCTGTGCTTGTGGAGGAGTATCCCGGGAAGGCTGTGAAAGGCACAAGACTGGCCGAGCCTGGTAACTGATTCCGAGAGAAGACTGCAGAGTTGCTGATTCCTTTCGGACCACCCCCAAGTGGAGCATCCTGAGAGCATAATCCTGGTTTTCTTTGGACTGGTCGGTGCTGTCCAGAGTTCGCTGCCTTTTATTAGGCGTAGGACTTCACTGCTATAGTAGAGTCACCTGGAATCTCCTTCACTGGCCATCGGACAGAAGCAGAATCCTCTCTGTCCTTGAGGGCAGGGACCATATTTTAAACTTTTTGGCACATCTTGTAACACTTAACAACGATTTACACGTAGTAGAACACCATTTACTTCCACTGAACTCACTGAAGGCCATTTGTCCCAGGGCTGAGCTGGGCTTGTGAAGGACAACAGAGTCATTTCCTGAGGTGACATATGTGAAAGGGCCCTGAAATACAC